GATGCACATTTAGATGACAGGTATTGAGGTGATGCTGGGCAGTGACAGTGGCCGCTGTGTATTTATGAGCTGGAGAGGGGCGGGTGGAGACGCGGCCTCTACCCACGAAGCCTTGCAGGCTAGCAGGTCGTCGCGTCGATGGGGGCGGTGCTTGGAGGCCCGTCAAGAGCCGGACTGGGACAGCCTGACCATGCAGCACAGTACCATGTAAGGCTTTGTTCAGACACAACACAATCAGAGTGCTACTGGAGAAGTCTGTTTGTGCAGTGTCAGACATGATCCACACAGCATCAGCAGGACTGTGAAATGTTTGTTTGTTTGTTTCTGCTGCTGTTGTTCAGGATCATCTCCAGAGTCCCAAAGATCTCTGTTCAGCTGAGCCACCAGCCTCCTGCACTCAACAATGAGATGTACTGCATCAGCGTCACTATCCAATCGCAGGAGGAGGGCGTGGCAAAGGATGTCAAGCTGACAGCTGGCCTCAAGCCAGGTACGCTGATGCTACCATAACCACAGATAGTTGGATTTCTATTTCTATTTGTGTACAGCTTAAACAAATGAATGATGTTTTAACTAGCGAGCGTAGTGAGGTTGTATGTTTTTTATTTGTATGGAGCCAGGCTAGCTGTTTTCCCCTGTTTCTAGTCTTTATGCTAGGCTAGGCTTGGCTTACTATGTGTTGATATTGTTATTTCAGATGTATGGCATAACACCAAGTGTATATTTAATGGTTTTGTCTGTCCAGGCCAGGATGCCAATCTTGGCCAGACCACACATGTGACACTCGATGGCTCAAAGGTTTGCGACGACACTGCGCCCGCCCTGCTCCCTGATGTTCCTCTAGGAGATCTGAAACCAGGCGAAAAGGTACACACACATTCAGAAAGAAATGTTCTAGATCAACCTTCTAGAGAAACTTGTGTGACAGAGCATTATCTGCACTGTAACTTCTTTATATAGACACCTGCCTACATTTTCAGCTTACCCACAGTGAAAGTAATCCCAGCATCCATGGTATGTGTGTGTTTGTCTCTAGTTGGAATGGTGTGTATACGTGAAGTGCGTGTCAACTGGACCAAGGGTCTTCCTGTTCCATGTGGCCTACAGCATCGATACCACAGTGGAAGGACGACAGATTGTGTGCAAATGTCATAAGGTAAAGAACATCATGTGACCTGCAGACACAGCTGACAGTTAGCACACTCTCCTAATAAATGACTGCTGTCCATGTTGTGTTAAACGTGGTGTTGTGTTTACCTCTCTCTTGTTCTGTTGTGTTCCAGGATGAGACAGTTACCATAGAGACGGTGGTCCCATTCGAGGTGTCTGTCAAGTTTGTGTCCACCAAGGTCTGTAGCTGATACTTTTAGTTTATTAAAGCCCCTACAAGGTACTTTGTTTTTGTATTAGTTCTGGTAGTCTCTATGGTCAAAAGTGGTGTTTCTACCACTTCATTTCATTGATTTCAAGTGGAGTCTGACCGATTCCAACCCGGTGGTAGGCATTAAGAAAACTGACTCCGATGCCAGCGATTATGTGTTGCCAAGTCTTCACTTTACGCATAACATAAGCTGTTTTAAACAGGAAGATAGTATATTGTTTACTGGTATTATTTAGTAGTGTTCTTCAGTGGGAGCCGACAGACAGAACAAAGCAGAACAGTATGGACATGCTTACATTGTTGGTGTACAGTGAGACTAGAGATGGTGGTGGTGCAGAGTTTATCAAGTGATATTATTATTATTATTATTATTATTATTATTATTATTATTATTATTATTAGGGATGTCTCGATCAAGTAATTTTGTTTGATATCTGATCCGATATTTTCCTAGATGATACAGGTGCACAGTGCACGCTTCAAGTACATTATTCAAATCAATACAATGTATTCGCATATGTTTGACAATCGAGTAGCTCTGTAATGTTTTAAGAAAAACATTTATTGAACGCGAACCGCTCCGTAATGTTTTTTAAATTAAAAAAATTTAAAAAATTAAATAACCATGTAAACAAACTAAATTATGTCTTTGTAAATTGCTCTTATCAATTCCACTTAAACAGTAAAACTAGAACACTCATAATGAGAAATAGAATCACAACACTCTGTTCTGTGAGGTTGTCACAGGTTGTCAGTGGAGTCTGGTGGCTTTGAAGCATTGACAGTAGCTTTGAACAGAACCATATAATATATACTGTGTGTTTAGTGGATGTACTTTGACTGGCACATTTGTCCCCAAGGAGCCATTGTGTCCCACTTTAGTGGCTTCCATCTGAGGCAATCTAGTGGACCAGGTCCAAAACTTTAGTGCCTATTAAAGCAAAGGATTGGGCTAAGGTTCCTGCTCAATAAAACCAACGTGAGCCCCCCATCCTTGAGATTGGATCAGGACATCCCTTTTTATTATTATTATCTGTGCTCTTTTCTGTGTGTTTGCAGTTTGAGCCACTGGATCGGGTAGCGGTGGACATCCCATTCCTGTTGATGACAGACATCCTCTCATCGTCTCCCTGGCCTCTCCTGCTGGCCTCCTCTTCTCTGCAGCTGGTTACTATAACCAGCAACACACCACAGCTGCAGTCACAGCTGCAGGAAGGTACCGGACTAGTTTCAACTCTTTTAGATTCATAGCTCTGATTAAAACATGTGAATCCTATGACTATAACATATTATTTGTGTGTGTGATCAGTGGTTCTGCAGACAGGCGAGAGTGCCAGCGAGTGTTTCTGTCTCCGGTGTCCACCACTGACCAACAGCAATAGCACTGTAGCTACAGGACAGTACCTGATATCATGGAGGAGGTACGTAACACACATGTTGAGTGATCCGTGTGTATGTTTGAAGAGGCTTGTAGGTCTCTTAACTGTGTTTTAACTCTGTTGTACAGAAAGTCCTCCAGTGCAGACAGTCCTCTCATCCAAACTACAGTCACTCTACCTCATGTCATCCTGGAGTCTGTCCCACTTTACATCCACGCTGGTCAGTCAAGTTTACACGTTACATATTTTCTTTCTTTTTAATCTTTATTTTCCTGCTGAATTTGATTTGTAACACTCAGTTGTGTTGAATGTTTCTATTTTATTTCAACGTGTCTTTGTTTGGGTGTAGATGTACCATCATTTGGGCGAGTCAGAGAGTCTCTCTCAGTCCGTTACCACATAGAGAACAGAACAGCTCTGGTGCAAGAGGTGGAGATGGCTGTTGAACCTTCTGATGCCTTCATGTTCTCTGGACTCAAACAGGTACAGTGCTCTCTACTTTAAATAAAGATTTGGCAAATAAAAGGCATGTAACTGCATGTTGATGGTCAAAACTATATACTGTACTATACTATAGGTTTCCTGAATACATATATGGTAACTGAACTGAACTGCTCAAATATGTGTTTGTATATATGAAGTAGGACACAGAAAATCCACACTACTGTTTTAACTCCTTTTTACTTTCTGAGGGTCTGTAGGGAAAACCCCTGCACTCGTACTGATTCACATATGGGTTACTATGATTACCACTTACTTATACAGAACACTCATGTTTGAGTTGTCTCAGATTACTGTATTTTATAAATGTGTCAGAAGGTCTAAGGCCACGTTCACTGACTAAATTGTATCATAAAGGCTTATCAATTATGTCCCGCCCCTTTTTGCTCTGTGCTCCAGTTGAGCAGCTTTCTCCTTTCCTGTACTTAGATATGCTATATACTAGGCTTGTATATGTTGAAAAGACAACCATATATAGCTAACTAGTTAGTGATTGATGTAGATTAGCTAGCTAATGTTTTGCTATATTAATATAATATGTGACTATATATGTATGTGTATATTTGTTTGTTGATTTTTTCTTTTAACCATCTTCAAAATGTGGTTGGAGACCAACTGCAGGTTGTAAAACTATGACTGTTAACTGGCCCTAAGCTTTATTCATGGTCAGAATAGAAAATACATGCATGGACGAGAAGATGTATTTACTGTGTGTCTGTGTCTGTGTCTGTGTCTGTCTGTCTGTGTCTGTGTCTGTGTCTGTGTGTGTGTCTGTGTGTGTGTCTGTGTGTGTGTGTGTGTGTGTGTGTGTGTGTGTGTGTGTGTGTGTGTGTGTGTGGTGTGTGTGTGTGTGTTCTGTTTTCTCTGTCTGTGTGTGTATAGGTGCGTCTGCGTATCCTCCCAGGCTCTGAGCAGCAGATGCTGTATAACTATTACCCGCTGATGGCTGGTTACCAAACACTACCACAGCTCAACATCAGCCTGCCGCGCTGCCCGACCACCAACACACACACACTGAGACGCTTCCTGCCTCAACGCATCTTTGTCAAGGTAACACATTAACAGGAATGCAAACACACCACAGAGTTAGTAGTAGTGGTTATCTGAATGTGAAGATATTCAACATTTCAAAGCATAATTTTCTTTCTCCTTCTCCTCAGCCTCAGGGTCGGCAGGTGGACGACGCCTCCATCGCTGCAGCTTGAGAAGAACACACACACACACAAACCGTTTACTGTAAATACGAGAACAAAGCAACATTGTTTAGGTTGTTCTAGATGTATGATTCCTCACAGATGACAATATTAACACTATTTGTTTCACATTGTTCTGTAAAAACACACCAGGACAGACTACCTGTTGACCAAACATCAGGAGACATTTGTTTCCAGCGTTTCTGTTCAGAGTGAATGTGACGACATGATGAGCATGACAGACGGCTGGTGAATGAACCGGTACACTGATGTTCATTTAACAGTGAAAATCATGTATGGATCTGATGTGAACTATATGGAGATTTGGGTAGAGTGTAATACAGGAAAATTGAATGTGATGAAGTTTTAATTAAATTGAAGTGATGTAAACTAGTTGAGCTCCATGTGCATGTTGCTAAGTGTTTACAGTAAATATTCTGTTTCCATTGTTCATGTAACAAAATTTAGACTTCAAATTTGCCCCACAATGCTTTGCACCATGGAAGTGTAGAGATGTGCGGATGATAACGAAGTTCTGAGGCTTGTTTCACTCCTGTGAAACTCACAGTTTCTGTACATTGTGTTAGAGCTTGGGTCAAATGAAGAAAACCATGTGACGGATGGCGTCTGAAGCTCCAGAAAGAGCTGTAACATGTTGCACAATAACATCGACAGTTGACGCAGCACATCTGAACAAAGATATTACAGATTTAATAATGACACACGCTTCTTGGACTTTTATTGCACACGTATGAGACTAAAACTGAGACTAAAAGAGGTGTTGTAGAGCTTTTTTGCTCCAGTCTTGTCCCTGTACTGCTGAGTTTGAAGCCCTGAAGTTTGGAGTAGTGTTCAGCACAAAGAGAAAAAAAGCCCCAAAGCTTCATATGGCTTCACTCAGCCATCACTAGTGGAAACGTGGGCAAAGTGGTGCTACAATGTACCAGTAAATGATGAGGGCTTAAAATGTAAGCACATTATCTGCTGTGAAGTAGAGAGCCACACTACCTTGCAATTCAACATGTATAGTGGTGCCACGTTAAGGTTTTATTATATTATTACTTAATACTTCATTATTTTTTAGTTTAAATCTCTGTTTTTATAACACATTAATTACAAAATGTCAAAGTAAAAAGTATTTAATAACCTGGAATGTAACAAAACTTTACAAAAAACAAAAACCAGTACATCTTGCGACAAGGACGTCTGATCAAGAAACTCATGTTACAGTCGGGAAAGCGTTTGTTTCCAATCCCAGTGGCTCCACTGCGCCTGCGCCTGCGCCTACCTGGCCAATCACTACCAACTCTCGTTGAGACACATATCGTGTCGCGATAGTTCATGGGAGCTGTGGATTCAAACTGCGGCGGTTTGACTGACTGTGTTGACTACGGATAGTTGACAAGGTAACCAGATCATTAAATGTGTTCATTTGTAACATTACGTTAATTGTCGGTATTATATTGTGCGTCCTTCCAACCATTGTCGATACCAACTCAGTAAAAGGTGACTAGAGTTACTTAGTCGTGTCCCTTAAGGAAGTTTCTCCAGTTAACCGTGTTTTCACTGATAGAAACACAAGCTGGGAAAGTAACGTTACAGCTAATGTAACGTTACAGCTAATGTAACGTTAGTAACGTTAGCTAGTCGAAGTGAAATGAATACAGACGCTAACGTTAGCTAGCTACGTATTTAAGTTAATTAAACATAACGTCATAAACCATCGTGTGTAGCCATTTTTGCACTCTTGCTATCTACCAAGCAGTCGGTGGGCCTTTATGTGGTTTCAGTGCTAATATCAAGCAGCAGCCTCTGTCTTACGTAACGTTAGAGGTAACGTAACAGTTACTAAAACTAGCACATAACCTAAGCCTTTGTGAGGCGCTAACATACACATAAATGCCAAGCTAAAATGAAATATTAGTTTTATCTTGTATTTTTTTCTATTCCATTCTTATTTAATTCCTAATCTATGGTGTTGTATCTGGAGCTGGTGTAGTAAGTGAATCTATAGTGCGATCTTATTCTACATAACTTATTTGGGAAGAAACAGTAATGTCATGAGATACCCTAGATAAAAAGGGAATATATAATAACATAGAGATCGCCATCCCAAAAATAAATGTTTACCTTTTGGAGACAGTTATATAACAGTGTTCTGCTCTGTCTCTCAGAAGTAAAAGACAAAGATGTAATAGAAAAATACTTTAAAACAATAAAATAGAGGTAGTACAGTCAGTTTCTCCATATGATTGCTTGACCAACTAATTAACACACAGCCCTGAAAGAGTAGTTATGGACAATGTCACCAGAAGAAGTCGTCCTACTGCTGGAAGCATAAAGCAGGTTTTTACACTCCAAACATCTCTTTTTCCTCCTGTCTCCAGATGGCAGCAGAAGATGAGATCCAGCGGCTGAGGAGCCAGTTGAGGGAGAAGGAGGAGCAGGTCCATCAGGCTGCCCAGGCTGGCTTGGATCTCCTTAACCAGCAGATGGAACTGCAGAACCGGCTGGATGAACAGAGAGTGGAGATGACCAACGCGCTCGAGGTATGCTTTTAGAGGGTCTTACCATGGCTAAATGAAGTGATGTCTGTGTATTATCCTGAGTAACAGGGGCATTGTTCCAAACGTAAACACCTGTGTGTGTGTGTGTGTGTGTGTGTGTGTGTGTGTGTGTGTGTGTGTGTGTGTGTGTGTGTGTGTGTGTGTCAAAGGCCCTCGAGCAGGACAAGTACTCCCTGCAGAAGGAGGTAGAGTTAAAGAGTCGGATGCTCGAGTCACTGCAGTCGGACTATGACTGCGTGAAGAACCAGCAGAGACAGCAGCTTCAGGAACAACAAGAACATCTGGAGAGGAGAAACAGCACCGCACTCAGTGAGCTCAATAACAAGGTACAGCTACCTGTGGTCAGGTAAAAAAAAAACTTTAAAGGCTTTTCAAAGCAGACATTTGGGCATGTCATAGTAGGAAAAGCTCATCTGCATGTTTGCACTACAATCTTCAAGATGGTGGAATCAAGAATCCAGCACATATAAAATTGTTAGTCTTCCTGTATTTTTCTCTCAGATGCTGAGGTTGCAGTCGGCTCTGGAAGAATCCCAGCTGAATGAGAAGCAGCTGAAACACAAGCTTGAGGTGCAGACAGAGACTCTCAATAACAAGATGGAGGAGCTGCGAGGTCTGAATGAACACACCCAGAGCTCCTTGACATCTGAGATGATGGAGGTGCAGATGAAGATCATGGACCTGGAGAACATCAAGGTGAGGGAAGTGAGAATGTCATTTTAGACTTTCTGTAATCTGCTGCTGTGTCCTTGTATTAATGAGTATGGTGAATGGTTTCAGCTGGACTTGGAGCAGACTCTGCAGGAGTCTCAGTACAGAGAGCAGCAGCTAGAGCTGACCAATAGCAGCCTGCAGCGCCACCTGGAGCGAATCACAGAGGAAAAAGAGGAGAGGGAGAAGGAGGCTGTCTCCTGGTTTAATGCATTAGAGGTAAACACACCACTATTTAACATGGATTAACTAACTAATGGCACTGTAACAGTACAGTTAACAGTTAATAAGTAGAACCACTGCCTGAACTGTTATCATTGTGTTTGTGTGTACATTATTATGCTTTTGGGCATCAAAAGTTTTATCAAAACATTAAAATATTTATTTAACATTTATCAACATTTTGGAGGATTATTTTGCGAATCAGGTTACACAAGTTATCATGTGCTGCAGACTTCTAGAGGCTACTTTATATTACTTTTAGTTTTAGCTTAGGAGTTATTTAGAATACAAGGATACTGCATACTTGTAAAAAAGTAGGTGAGAAAGCCAGTTCCCTGTATACATTGGTGTTCTTTAGAATAAATCAAGTTGGGGGAATCCCAAAAGGGATCACTTACTGTAAGTGCATGTACATACTTTCTGTGAGTGCATCTCTGTATCTGTATATGCTCATGCTGTATGTGTTTGTGTCACGCTGTCTTTACACAGAAATCTCGTGAGGCTAACCGGGACCTCCAGATCCAGTTGGACCAGGTTTTACAAGAGGCCCAGGATCCAAACAGCAAAGGGAACTCCCTTTTTGCTGAGGTAAAAGCCAAACTGAGCTACAGGAAACAAACATCAGGGCAGGCTCTGTCTTCGCTTTTCTGTGGAAAACTAAATGACTCAACTATACTAACTTTATCGAAAGATGTCTTAATATACTTAAATATTTGACATATAAGGTAAACTGGAGTTTAAATGAAATGCAAAAATGAGCATGTATTTTTACTTTCTGTATTGCAGTTGGAAGATAGGCGTGCAGAGATGGAGAGGCAGCTCATCAGTATGAAGGTCCAGTATCAGTCCCTGCAGAAACAGTACGCCTTCAGCAAACAGCAGCTGCAACGCATGAAGGTACTGTGTGCTGTGGAGTGCAACTGCACTAATACACAAAGCTATGAACATACCCTGTTGTTTGTGTGTAACTTGAATGACAGTGTTGATGTGTTGTGCAGGTCCAGATAGCCACTCTGATGCAGCTCCAGGGTTCCAGGGCTGATCCTGCCCAGCTGGAGAGGCTCCAGTCCATGCTCTCAGAGAAAAATGGAGAGATCCAAAACCTAATGACAAAACTGCAGAGGCTGGAGAAGGTGGAGGTGAGTGAGAGAGAGAGGGAGGGAGAGACAGAGAGAGAGAGAGAGAGAGAGCCACTGTTGGTGGACCAAAAAGACTGAATCATTTGAAAAGTCAATGAACAAATGCAGTACTGGATGGAATCTATCCAAATAATCGATTCTTTTAGTAGGTGCTAAAAGAGGTTAGTGGTCTTTGACTGTATTGTAGAAGTATGCCGAGTAATTTGTCAAGTGTGTGGTTCTCTGGCCCGTTTTTATACCCAAACCGCATCCACGGGACAAAAGTAGCCCCTCTTTTAGGTACTGCCTTCAACTTTTCTCTTGGCTGGTTGGAGTTCTTGTTTTGCCTTCGTGCACATTTCCTGCCTGCACCCGTGCTGTGAGAAGGAACACAATGTACCGCAATAGAATCTATTGTCTAAAACCTGAAAAAAGGTTAACACGTAAGGATAAGAATTATCACATTGTGGCTCACTTCATTTAACACCATGACTTTACATGTGTTCAACGATGATTTATTAAAAATGATATAAAATGTGTGAAACTTTGTTCAATTGTGAATTTGATTTGTCCTTTGCCTGTCAACATAAAAGTGTGTGTGTGTGTGTGTGTGTGTGTGTGTGTGTGTGTGTGTGTGTGTGTGTGTGTGTGTGTGTGTGTGTGTGTGTGTGTGTGTGTGTGTGTGTGTGTGTTTAGATGATGATGAAGTCTCAGCCAGCTAATCCTGCTCCAGCAGAGAGCGGTGACGGCCAGGATGAAACTTACTACACTGACCTCCTCAAAATGAAGCTTAACAACACTGTGTGAGTTGAACCGTCTCCTTGTGCCTCATAAGTCATACAGGCAGTACTGTGCCTCGCTGAATCAAACAGTTTGATTTGTTACTTCTGTGGTTTTAAAGTGTGTAACCTTTATAAGGATCTATTGTCAGAAATGGAATAAAATATTCATAGGTATGTTTTCATTAGTGTGTAATCGCCTGTTTTTGTTACCTACAATGAGCCGTGTTTATCTACAGAGGGAGTGGGTTGCCTTCCATGTAGTCCGCCATGTTGAACCATCATGTTTCTACAGTAGCCCAGAATAGACAAACCAATCGCTGTCTCTAGATAGGGTCTTTTGGTTTTTCGCAGCCAATGTGCTTTGTCCTTCACACTACGCATTCCCAGTTCGCCAGATACCAACGCCAGTGTTCAAGTATTCTGCAACTACACCGTTACATACCACTCCTTTCTACACACCTTTAACTGTAATGTAGCAGAAATCCCATTTAAAGGTCCAGTGTGTAGGAATAAAAAGGCTCATTCTAAGGTAACAAAACCACCATGATTCTTATACTCAGGTGATTACACACTAATGAAAACATACCTATGAATATTATATTACAGTTCTGCCAATAGAGCCTTCTCAATGTTACACACTGGACCTTTTAAAGCCAAGAGAGCCAGATGTTTTTCCTCCATACATATTCATCAGGAAACTAACAAATTCACTCTCTTCTTTTACTCAGATGGTTCTGTGTCCTCATATTACATGAATCCTTGTTAGGTTTAGCTTTGCAACTGTAGTGTTAGAATTATGACTAACCAAAAATACATAGCAAATTTGGTTCACAAATTCAGTCCTGTCCTTTTGCAACAGAGTACACAAAGCTCAAAGGGTGGATTTGTCTTTGTCTTTATCTGTGTGCTGGGTGAACTGAAACTGTGTGTGTGTGTTCAGTAAGGATGCAGAGCGTCTAGGAGATGAGCTTTCCCTGCAGAGGATGAAGTCTTTGTCAGAGAGTCAGAGAGCTTTGGAGCTGGAGAGGAAACTGTTCTCATCTGAACGGCTGCTCAAACAGGTAAAAGTGAAGATTTCTCACTGAAATAAGTGCTGGCTGGTGGATCAGATACCCACCGAATTGAACACCAACTCACTGTTTATTTACTGTCTACTGTGTGTGTGGTAATGAAGTAACCACTCGTTTGCTGTTCCCTGTCTGGTGCTGGACAGAGTGTCTGCTGGCTCTACCTCTTTGCATGGGTGCCCCAGTCGTCTCCCACTCAACCAGACATTTAGCCTGCTAGATATTTTTCTGCCGCCGCAAACCTCTTGTTGAGTTGTTGAACAGTGTGAACTCAGCATAACAGATTACTGAATGTATGTTTGAGGTGATTAAAAAATGACATCAGCAGCACATCCTTAAGCTACCTAGTTTGCCAAGTGTCCAAGTGTAGTGTTGCAAACGGATCCATGACGTAATGTTACCAAACACTGAACTGAAAAGTACAAACATTAATACTGCAGGCCATATGCAAACATAACAGTTACAGACACACATTGTGCTGTTTTATTGTATATTTCTGTTTGCTGCTGCAGGCTCAGAGTGACAAGATCAAACTGCAGCTACGAGTAGAAGAGCTCCAGCACAAATATGAACCAAAAGGTAACCAGAATAAAACCAAACCAATATTTGCACACTGGTCCTGTGTCTCTGGACTTGGATGCAGGTTCATTTTAAAGGTATGACTGTAACATCGCTTCTCTTGCTATTCTTATCTCTAGAGGGGAAAAAGAATCTGCTCCAGAAGAGAAAGAAAGAGAAACTTCCTGTTGGCATCATACCCTCCTCTGAGGAGGCCACGCTTGACAAGGGTGAGCAGGTTGTTGCCGTGGAGATGGACGTCACAGCTACTAAAACTGCAGAGCCTGAAGCCGACCCCTCTCCCACGGCTGAGGCAGCGATCTCCACACAAAGCGTGCGCATCGGAGGTCAGTCACCTCCACAGGGTTGAAATGTGGATATAAATTCAGTCCAGCTACATAACAGAGCAATATATTGTGCAAAGAATTGAGTAGTCTTGTTTTGTGTTACAGGTTCAGAACCTGAGCCGCGACCTGCCAAGTGTGTGAAGATCAGTGGAGATGAGCCTGTGGTGATTCCTGATCCAAGGTCAGTGTGTCTGTGTGGAAGAGTCCAGATCATTTTGTGGCTTTGAGGCAAACAAAACACACAAGTGATTTGTGCACCCAAATTGAACATGAAGCTTTATTGTTGTTGTTTGTTTGTTTGTTTGTTTGTTTGTTATGTGAAGGATTGTAAGCATTACTGTTGATTCCTATTCACCTCGTTTGGAGACACCCATTAGGGCCATCCTGCTTCTCTCCATGGACTTATGGGTTACTTTTCCATTGATACTACTTAAGCAACAGAAACAATTTTCAGTGTCATAAATGGAATTAAATAAAAACTACTACAGATCCATGAGGAACAATGGAAAGAGAAGATTTGGTATAATCCAAAGCTGAAAAACTATGTTCAAATCAAGGAAGATTACCACACAGAACTGTATGTAGTATTTAATCTAAGGAGAGGGCAGAGGTCCCTGTGTGCTCAGTTCAGAGCCGGTACCTTACCACTGCCAACTGAGGTAGGCAGGTATAAAGGTATCCCTGAAGAGCAGCGTTAATGTGTTCTCTGTGATCATGGTGTTATTGAGGATGAATTTCTGTTTCTGTTTCACTGCCCTGTGTACGGTGACATGAGGAACCTTGTTTGAAAAAATCCAGAAGAACCCTGATGTGTTTTGGTTGTCTGAAAGTGAAATGTTGAGCTGGCTCTTTCAGGAAGGGGATTTATGGAGAATGCATGGCAATTAGGACAAAGAGCAGAGTGTCATAATAAGACATTTTGGTCATGAAGATGGGATCTTATGAAATGTTTTCTTCTGAATGTGTGGAACTGTACATTATGATTTGTTATATGGCCATCTTGGCTGATGTTGCTTTAATGTCTAAACCCATATGGGCTGGGCATAATACAATGGTAAATACATAAAATCATCAATCAATCAATCCAAGATAAAAAAGTACAAAAATACAAAGATAGACGAAAGTTACAAAATTAGGATATATAACCACCTGTTTTGATAATCAATGAATTAAGAAGAATTGTCAAATTTCTCTGATTCTAGCTTCTCAAATGTGAATATTTTGTGGTTTCTTTGATCCTCTGTAAACTGAAAGTCTTTGGGTTATGGACAAAACAAGATCTTTGACCTCTCCTTGTGTTTGGGAAACAACAACGTTTCTCAACATATGGCAGCATATCTTGCCATTTTAGTGCCACCTGCAGATCAGTGCGAGACTATTGGCGGCAGTGTGCCACGTCTTCCACGTGCATGTGCGTCTTCGAGCGAGTGCCTGATACAAACAGAGACCCACTCGTAGAAAAACAGCTCCATAACGCTACTAATGGTCAAAAACTCGATAGGAAACCTTAAAATAAACATGTATTTCATTGGTCAGACACTAACACACGAGCTGACAGTCACATTATAAATGAAACAAGGGATGAAATAACATCTTTAGTGTGCAAGAAACAATAGAAACACAACATTTAAATTCATACTTGGTGGGGAAATACTACTAGACTAAGCTTAGAACTAGACAAGCGACTAAAACGTGTCTAAAACTGGTGTTGATGTGATATTTAATAACTGGACTGTGTTTGTGATCCTGCCTCAGCTCTCCTGTGTCTGACTGTAAAGAGATGGAGCTGGAGGAGAACCAGCAGCAGAACAAGAGAGAGGACAGAAGAAAGAAAAGAACAGTGGAGATGATCCACGTCAGCTCTAACAGCAGTATGGAGAACCAGTGTGCACAGCAGTAGGACTCATCTGAACATGTGGATGTATATATGTGTCTGATATTCTTTGAAAAAGTATTGTATCTTTTTTTTATTCAAATATTCTAATTCTTTTACCTGTAGCTTTTCTCCTGACTTCACTGTATTTGTTCTATACTGTCAATATATTTAAATGTTACAGTATTAAAAATGTTTTGAAACATACAGTATCCTGTGTTTAGTTCATCTATTCACTGCAATTCTCTAACGTTGCAACAGATTTATCTTAAATATTCTGCCACTGCAGTCAGGACTCAGCCTTGGTACATGGGGCCCAGGGTTCGAATCTGACCTGTGGCCCTTTGCTGTATGTCATCCCTTCTCTCGCCACATGTGATGTAGTGGTGTATTGTGTATTTAAATAGAAAGAGAGTAAATGCTTTATTTTATGCCTTAGAGAGAAAAAATTATAATTAAACTATTGATTTATTTACTATTTATTTAAATTTCAAATGTCTAAAGAGCTAGAAGGAATTTTCTATAATCTAATATTGTGTTATTCACATTCCACACCAGCTGGTGGCAGTAGCGTTCTGTGTAGTTGTTTGCCAACCTCAAGAAGACGTGATTCACGTGGACCAATGAGAGATGAGTGACAGGTGACGCAAGCCTTCAGATGTATGCGGGAACCGTGTGGATAAAAGAGACTGGTCTTCATCTGTCTGCGTCTCCTCTTCATCACTGAAACAGGTGAGTTGTTGCTAACCTCACGAGGCTAGCTAGCGTTCTGCGGGTAGGTGGTTGATAAGTGCTAATACACTGGAACTGTCAGTGATATCCAGTCAATGAGTCCATACCGACAGCTGGTCGGTGGTCGTCATACAGCTTACTGACATATACTGACTGATATAGTGTACTAACAGGAAACAATACTAAATAGTAAGTACAATAAAGGAAACAAACACACGAGCAGAGAACGTTTAGATTTTCCTAACGTACATTTACCTGTAAAAAACAAGGTAACTTTAAAACAGCGTAATTGTGAATGAGGTTTGGTCAGTTAGTTCATTTCCCACATTCAGCAGGATCCAGGTGCTATTGGACACACACACACACACACACACACGTACGTACGTTGCAAGTCTACTAATCTGTATAAACATATATTTGACCCTTGCTTTGTCACTGTAAACGTCTGTTTCCCATGCCGATAAAGCCTCGTGAAATCTGGACGTTAATGCCTGTGTGTGTGTGTGTGTGTGTGTGTGTGTGTGTGTGTGTGTGTGTGTGTGTGTGTGTGTGTGTGTGTGTGTGTGCTGTCCCGTGTTTCAGTCACCATGAGGCTGATATCCAGAGGAGCTTCACTCAGCGGCTCAACCCTGGCTGCTCTCTGCTTGCTGCATTGCTGTCACATAGCCAGCGTTCAGGGCCAAAAGGTGAGTTATATTGCAATATATTTACATTCACTCTTAATAAACCAGGTTGTTAAGAAGTGAGTCAATACTATACGTGTTGTATCTGTAAAGGCATTGTTGTATTGATCGGCATGTGAAAAGTTTGATTGCTGGAGCTGAAGCAGGGACTCTAAAGGAGAAGTAATGGCTTCAGCCACTGTGACAGTGTGACATGAACTAGACATTAAGAAAGTCTTCATTCGAGGCTAACCAGAGTTCCAGAGGGAAACTGCTGTTCCTAATGACAAAAGGGAAGTTGGTGCAAAGATGTGGCTCTTTGCATGAATGTTTCCCTCCATTCTTTGGACAGCAATGTCACCAGCTTGCTACAAGATGAAGATACAGTGTGTGGTCGTCGGGGGCTCTCTCATTTTGAGGGAAAATGCAATAAATAAATAAATATGTATTACCATAAAATACAATTTAAAATATAATTATAATAATATATAACATATTGCAATCTTATTTGCTTACTTTCAGAAAGATACAGTGATTTGCTTTCTGTGTCTGTGCAGTCTGAATCTGCCTTAACTGTAGTGGAAAATAAAGAAGGAGGGGGTGGGGAAGAAGAAGAAGAGGAGGTGACAATTGATGAAGATGAAGGAGATTTAGAGGTGGCCCAACCAACTGAGGAGTGGCAGACACTCAAACCAGGTACTGTACTGGAGGGAATACTGGTACTCTGTCACAGTCAAAAAACATCTGGATCTGTTTTAGACTTACCTTCTAAAGGTGTCTGTGTGTCTGTCTGTCTGTCTGTGTGTGCAGGCCAGGCAGTGCCAGCTGGTTCTCATGTTCGGCTGAATCTGCAGACGGGTCAGCGGGAGGTCAGACTGGGAGAAGAGCAGCTTAAATACTGGACACAGGAACACAGGTATGGGTCCAGAGTAACACCTGACTCTTACAGATCAAGTACCTTTTAGTAAGTCATTCATTTCACCTGTTTAATGTGTGTGCAGAGAAAAAGAGGAGACCCAGTCCTCCTTCAGTCCTGATGAGCTTAAACGAGCCATGAAAAAGATAAAGGAGGATCAGAGTGCTGCGAGCAAGGACACAGACCAACAGGTAACAGTGTAGCACGTAGATGAAGGCAGAAATATCAAATACATCCTCATACTACACATTGGAAGGGATTAAAAACTCCAAACATGTAATGAAACCCTTTAATGTCCTCACTTAGAAAGAAAAAATATTTTCTTTGCAGTTATTATTTTCTTGGGGCAATAATAACAGCAGTCAATGTGGTTTTTAATATAGAGCTCAAACAATCAGTTGATGAGTTACTTCATGGTAAGGATGAAAAATCATACTGTTAGAATAATATCAAATATATGATATAGACCTCAAAAAATCATCATACTTATTACATTTACTTTGTATTTTTATGACTCATTAATAATGTTTTATTTCTAAAAGTAGCGTAAAGGGAGCTATATCTGAATTTAATTCCACAAGCTTGCTTTGTAAATAACAATAAAATAACCTTGAATCCTTGACAATAGTGAATGTACATATGTTATTTCATAAAAATTGAAAATTTACATATATATATTAACACCACTACCTTTAACACTAAAGGACAGTTCAGACACTTGGTCGAGCATTTTCTTAGACAGTAAAAAAAAATAGACTGACATGATCAGTCTATATATATTGGAATAACATTAAATATAACATTAAGAACAATACATTATCAGAGGTTTTCTTTCTTTCATAGCAAATGGTCCATTTTAATAACATTAGCAAGATACACTATCTTTCCTGTAAAATGGCAAACAGCCCCTTTGGTAGAGCATGTTTTTGTAAGTCGCGTAACTCTGTTCATTAAGGCCTCTGAGTCTATAATATGTTGAGAAAATATGTTTACCTTTTGAAAATTCAACCAAAAAGAGTCCTCATGTCTGGAGTGACCTTTTTGTTGCCAACTTTCTGCAAGGAGGTGAAGTGAAAAGGACGCAATCTTTTGTGAGATATAGTGACTCAAAAAAGTGCTCTACCAAACAGCTGAGCAGAACAATAAAGGGTTAACAGCAAGGTTGAGCAATATTCTTCTTTCAGCTTGTTCAAAATCTGAAGAACTGTGGGTACATCTTTTATTCATGACTGAAACAACATATCACGCTCAAACTGCACGTGTGTGTGTGTGTGTGTGTCTGTGTGTGTCTGTGTTCTGTGTAGGACTCTGTGGCGTCTAAGTACCGCCCCCTGGAGGAGTTAAAGAGAGACTTGGCTCAGCTGGAGATGCTGGTGGAGACAGATGCTCAGGTACATCACTCATTGGAGAGTTTTCAGAAATTGTAAAACATGTGTGTAATTGTCACAAGCTCTCGTGACACACATCTCCCCAACATTAAACACAGACACTGTCAGTAAGGGATGAATTCATTAAAACAACTATAAGACTGATCAATAATGTATTATCAGTATATTAATAGTACTAGTATCAGTGTTAAATATGCTACAATGTCAATCGTACTTGAGTCCACTAGTGCATCAAATCCAGCATGAACTGAAACTATGACGAGGCTTCCATTCAGCAGAGTAGTTTTCAAACTAATCAATCATTCGATTCACAAAAACAATCACCAACCATTTTGATGATCCGTTCATCATTAAAGTCATTCTAAGTCATACCACCACCAATATAGAGATTTCCTGCTTTTCCCTGCTTTTTTCATCTAATTAAACTAAATATGTTATTCTTATTGTTGAAGCCATTACACTAATCTGTGTTTTACCTAGACCATATCATGCTCATGTGAGCAACTTATAATCATGCTGCCATATATATCAAATTATGCTGATCATAATTAAGTACTGTTGATCATGTTGAAGTGGTATTGCTGTGATGATAACGATGATGTAATGATGACGTCAGGGGGTGTTAACTCTACATATAGACGTCACCTGATGAGGTGAACAGGTGTTTGGCTAAAGAGCGGAAGGGCTAACTATTTTTCAACCGCATTAGAGAGACAAAGCAAGTTTTGTTTATTGTTACGTTGCTTTGATGAAATAAAAGGACAAATTATGGTGACACTACGACAGAATGCGCGTTGATTTACCGACCACTCCTACACTTATAGACCAAAAGATTAATCTAGAAACATCTTCAGATTAGTCGATAATGAAAATAATGGTTAGTAGCAGCCCTAGTTGGTCAGGAAGCAGCTCAGTGCAGAGACTGGGTCTGGGATGTTAGTGAGCTGCTGATGCAAGCCGCTGCACAGTGAAAGACTCTTAAAGAGAGCTGATGATGGGTGTTACTGTGAAGCAGCTGCAGGACATGCTGTTACAACACTGTGTATTTTACTTGTTGGTGACACTGAGTAGAGTGTGGTGTGCTGGTGTGCAGATAATGAGGCGCCTGCTGGAGCAGTTCAACAGCAGCAACTCGACGACGGAGCAGAGGCTGAGCATCCTGCTGGAGCTGGAGTACATGGTGCATCAGGTAACATCCACACCGACACAGCTGCTCTCAAGATGTGAGCTTACTGCTGTGTTAATAACTTACTTACTTTGTGTTAGGTGGATAATGCTCAGACTCTGTGTTCGATGGGGGGTCTCCAGCTCATTCTACGGGGTCTGAACAGCTCAGACTTCAGATTACAGGAGAGCTCTGCCTTTGTCCTGGGTTCTGCTGTGGCCAGGTATAAATGTGTTCATTATGTTTAGCTAAGATTTGACTGTGTGCTCATCATTCTGCCAGTTACACTGCATCCCTCCACTACAGCTGTATAATATCAAACACCCCTAGAATACACCAGTACTCAAATGTAGCTGTATATTATAACACTGCATCGCCCCCCTGTAGCTGCTGCACACATCTGAAAGTTCTAATAAATCAGCACAGGAGGTGATGGATTTTAATGTTTCCACTTAGTTTGGAATAAAAACAAATAGATCTCAGTAGTTGGGTAGAGCAGCAGCAGTGGTGGGAACAGATGAACAAATGTAAAAGTTAAGTTATTGAAAATCCAAGACTGTCTGACTCAAGAGGTACTAGGCAAATTAGTTCTGTAGCTCCATGAAGCTGGGGGAGCTGTAAGAGAGCAAGTAATCCTGCCTTTTAATCCTACACATGGTAAACCATAAATGGACTGCACTTTATTCACACACGATTGCACGGCTCCGGCAGACATTTTGGTGTATAGTATCTTGTTCACACTTCGACATGCAGCAGGAGGGACAGCCGCCTGTATGAGTCGAGCTTCAAAACTGCTGAATCCTACATTACCCACAATTCAACACAGTAGCATGTTTCATTAGACCCTTTCTCTGTCTTAAATGCCCTCACCATTCTAACTCCAGCTTATGACACAGGATTTCTGTTAAATATTTTAAAGTTCCTCCTCAATGTGAGCCAGATGACATCATTGACAAATGCTCTCCATGATGAGTGAACTGACCTGTGGAAAATCAGTGTGATGTCCCTTTTTAAAAGCCAAATAGAAAAAGTGTTGAAAACAAATGTTCAGGGGTGGCTGTGGCGCAGAGGCAGAGCGGGTCGTCCCCTAATCGTAAGGTTGTTGGTTCGATCCACGGCTCCTCCCGCTACATGTCGAAGTATCCTTGAGCAAGATACTGAACCCTGAATTGCTCCTGTGTATGAATGAGTTAGTTTCTGTTTGATAGACTTTACCATCATTGAGTCAATGTGTGTGAAAGGGTGAATGTGGCACGTAGTGTAAAAGCACTTTGAGTGGTCGGAAGAGTAGAAAGGCGCTATACAAGTACAGGTCCATTTACCATTCATTTTTGAAGATGTGGTGAATTGTGTTTCCCATCATTTCTGAGCCAGGCTTTATATGAACCCCTTTTCAGGCTCTATACAAGTGTTGATTGTCTGGAGAAATAGCCACCTGAAAGTCTGGATTTATGTGTACACAGGAGTGTGTGTGTGTGTGTGTGTGTCAGTATCACTGTCGTTTGTGTCCTGCAGTAACCCTGTGGTTCAGGTGAAGGCTGTGGAGAGTGGTGCCCTTCAGACGCTCCTAACCATACTGGCCACTACACAACCACTCAGAGTCAAAAAGAAGGTACCACACACACACACACACACACACACACACACACACACACACTACAGTTTATTGTTTTATGTGTATGTAAAGACAGTGAATCAGTAATGTGTGTGACCGTCCTCCTGTCAGGTTCTGTTTGCGGTGGCCTCCCTCTTACGTCACTTCCCCTACGCACAGCGTCACTTCCTGTCACATGGAGGGCTGCAGGTCCTATCGGAGCTGTTCAGGGCAGATGGGGGCGGAGTCTTGCGTACACGCATCGTCACCATGTTGAATGACATGATCAGCGAGAAGGTACAGCAAACAAACTAAAATCTCCCCGAGCTTTGTATAGAAGTCTGTAAGAAAATAAGTCGACTTCTCACTGAATGTATGAGCTCAGTAAACAGTTTCCTGATGAGTTTATAGTCTCAGTCTCTAGTTTCAGTCTTCTTCCATACAGCATGATGTTCATTTAGTAAATGATGGTCCCATTTAGAGTAAAACAGACCATAAAGCAGGGTATGCTTTACCGGCCGTGGCTACCTTGTGATTTACAAGTTGCTACCATGGAGACCAGTCAATCAAGATAGAGGCGTAGCAATGTGTATCCATGGCATTTTAGTCGCTTTAGTTGCACTAAGAAAGTAAAAGAGGTTGACTGTTCATTTTTTCTTTTAAAAAACGGATGCACCTTGCTAACCAAGAAAGCTAGCTAACACTAGTGTTAGACTGGAAGGGTTCTACTGGCCCTGGTTAATGATGCAGAATATGACCCAGATGATGCTGATGCTAGTCTCTCCTGCTCCACCAGGAACTGATCTCTCAGGCCGGTCTGGACCCGGCGCTGGATGCCTCCCATATGGAGCGGGTGCGTCAGTACTCTAAGGTGTCCCTGCAGGGGGAGCTGCTGGAAAAGGGCTGGTGCAGTCTGGTCCCACAACTACTGGAGTCCACTGAGCATGACTACAGAGAGAAGGTGGACTGACTTTGATATACTGATAAATAACACAAATTATAAGCCCCTTTAATGCCAAGTTAACAGATTTAGCCTTTGGAAACCCAGACTGGCTGAACATATGAATAGTGTATGAAATGAACTCTCTTTCAGGCTCTGCGGGCTTTGTTGGCCATGGCTCCTGTGTGTGCGGACCAGTACCGCTCAGACGGCTCTCTGCTGGGCTCACTGCTCTCTCTCAGGGACCAGTACCAGGAGATGGTCCAGTCAGAAATGATTGTTGGAGAGGAGAACGGCTACTTTGCAGAAATTGTAGAACTCATAGATGCACTGCAAGTCAAAATGAAATGACGAGAGGATTGTACAGTGACATTTTACATACAAGACAGAGGAGTACACAGACTTGTGGACTGGGAGGAAAAAACAAACACTGCAAGAGTCTACTGCATGCAATTCAAGGACAAGTGACACTCCTCTGACACAGATGTTGGGCTGACCCTGTAGATGATGGATCCATAGGTTGGTCAGTATGAACCTGACCGACTGAGATTTTATTGGTGGCCTTTTTTTGGGACGTATTTGGATGGTGGTGGAGATCGGAATAGAGATATTTTTCCTCGTGTTAATAGATGTTTAAATTTCAATTTAATCTATTTAAGAATAAATAAATGACTTCATAATGATGTTGTTGTGTTTATGTATTTTGGAGCAGATGGGGTTGGGGATCTCCTGCAGGGTTACCTTCATATTAAGCCAGAAATGATATTGCCAATTATGGACCCAAATTTACTTCATAATATACCAACCACACATATTATTCATGGTACAGTATTTTATTAGCTTCAGTACCAAATCCAGACTTGACGGTGTTGCAGTTAGGTGATCTGAGAACAAATATTAATTACCCTTGAACTGCCATAAACCAAATTAGTTATTAGTTATTAAGCTCTGGTAAATGTTTAGCACAGTGGAGGAACAACATTGTAGACGTACCTCTCAGTAGAACGCGGCATATTTCTATTCAGAAGCACCACAGCCTATAAAAACCATAAAGTAGAGATAGATTTTTAAACGTTAGCACTACATAAAAGGAATCAATGTTTTGGTCACGCGCAGTAAAATGTGCGGTGCTTTTATTCTGAAAATTCGAACCGGTAGTACAAGCAGTAAACGGAAGTAACGTTATGTGTGTTATTCAAGGAGGCAGCTGGTGCTTTATCTACAGAAGGATGTTAAGATGTAAACGGGACAAAACAGCGGCGGTTAATTTATTAGCGTTAGTCATGAATGGACCACGAGTTGCTATGGTCACTGGGAGCTAACAGTGAGATAAGTGACGAAGTTTGAATGTTTCTAAAGCAAGCTAACGGCTGGTGAGTGCTTAAAGAGACAGGCTGTGTTTACATTTGTTAGCATTGTAGCAGCTAGCAGAATGCTAGCTAGCCTTTTAATTCATTTACAACGCAACCTGGACTTTGACTCTAGGTAAGATTTATAGAATAATTCTTGGTGTTTTTCTATTAAATTTGATAAAAATATGTTTAGTAAAATGTAAAAAACAATTCACTTAAAATTAGCAGTTAAAATGTGATGTTGCTAGCTGTGTTATTTCTTTTATAACGTTAGTACTTTATAAAGGGTGGATGTGTATCCTCCAGTCCCTTGCATGTAGTATATTAGAGTCTAATGTAATAAATATAATATAATAAACCATTTCCATATTACCAAGAAATAGCATATAGGGTAAATGTAGTTATATTTTAAGCATCAACATTAACTGTCTGATTTTACAGTGGGAGGACACCTTCTATAACGCCATAATAATAAAGTGATAAAGTATAGGTTTTAATATTACAAGACAGCCTTCAGTAACCACTAGAGATCTTGATATAGTGTACAATAATAACATTTGATCCAATGTTTTCAGAGGTAGCAGCACTTCATTATTTCAGCAGAGAACTCAAGATTTCAAAGTCAGTCGATTCCCAAAATAATCAGTGCCTATTTTGATGATGTTTTCAGTCTCTTGAATTATCATGTAACTATATAATTTTGTCTTTCTTTTTGTGTGTAGATGTCGCCATCACTTGTGTAGCTGATTGTCGTTTCACCAGGATTTACAACAGTGTTTTTCAGTCTTGTTGTATGGTGAAGTCAGTGTTATATCGCTGTTTGCAGGCGTGTTCATGAACAGTGATGGAGTTGCCTCAGAGGGACAGGCTGTCGGAGCTGGTGGAGGAGCTGACCACATCAGGACAGCCACAGCTCAACCAGGACAAGATGAAGGAAATCAAAAAAATCTGCAAGTATGTTGCTAACTGAAGGGCACATCCCTACCCAGAGAGATTCTCATTCTCATTCAGGCATGAGTAACTGTGCACCATGGAGGGCTGAGAGTATGTGGGGGTGCAGAGGATTTCACACACTAGTTCATCCTCTCAGAAAGAAGACAAAACTAATAAGGGCTTTAAACACTCAACACACAACAAAGTTTTGGTACTACTTGACAAATAGTGACGACCTAATGCAGTTTAGAATCATCTTTGAAAAATTCTCAGAAAAAGTCCAAAGACTAAAGACAGATTACTGACACAGCATAGCGCGCCCCGGGTCCCAGGTTAACTGTGCGGCCATTTAAATAATAATGAATTTGTTGGGTAATATGTAAGAGCAAGTTAGAATTCACAGGATGATAAGAATACGGATAAGGTAAATAGTTATATTAGTATATATCAAATATTCATACAATAGCTCTTCACTCTGTGACTGTCATTCCTTTCAGAGTGTCTAATGACTGCATAGACCACGTGTACCACTCAGTGATGTCCCAGCTCAACCAGGAACATGCAGAGATCCGACTGTCTGCCTTCCAGATAGCCAGTGAGCTCTTCTCCAGATCACATCACTTCAGAACCCTGCTGGTGGACAACTTCCAGGTACAGGCCTCATATAGACCAATAGATCATCTCAGGTATTTCTTTTACACCAAACACTGCAGCACCTCATTTTTGAATCTTTATTTAAAAACCTAAACACTGTCATTTTTCTGTCTGCCAATATATCTTCAAGTATGTCACATTCCCATCCCCTACTCTTCTCATTCTCCTCATTTTCCCCCTCATCTCTCTTTCAAACCTCCTGCTCCTGCAGGAGCTCTTGGAGTTGACAGTTGAGACTGACTCGGAGCAGCCACTGCCCCCTCCTAAAGAAGTAGCCAGGAAACTGAGGTCACTGGCCATCCGGACTGTCCAATCATGGCAGGCCTCTTATGGGATGGCGTATAAGAAGTTAGCTCTGGGCTACCACTTTCTCAAACAGGTTAAGAAGGTGAGAGTGATACAAAACCAGCACATTTAGTCTTTTGTTGTTGAATAACAGACTGTCCAGTAGCTTCATGTTAGCTGAGGATAAAGGTATTTGGTCATAAACCAAAGTATTGACCTAATGAAGGCTAGATTATATAAACCTGCTCTGTTTCCCTGTTACTATGGCTGTCTATTTGGACTGTGTTTTCCCAAGTTGTGATCCTTCTGTAAGTGGTGTGATGTGTCCATGTCATCAGGTGGACTTCCAGGATGCTGAGGCCAGGACAGTAGCAGAGAGGAGGAGGGAGGAGGAGAGACAGAGGAGGATGGAGAGGATCTACAAGGAGAGAGTGGAGGCAGCCTCCATAGACATGGAGGGTAAACACCTCATCACTCAACAACACCACTGCTAGGGATAATAATAATAACAGTTGATTTTTTTTATTGTCAAGAACTGGACTGAACCAAATATCATATTTAATCTGTAGGACAGTTTCCCAAATGAAGAAAATATGTTCTATTGTTATCATTCTAATGTTCTGTAAATTTAAACAAATAAGCATAGATTGCTAGAATATGTTCAATGTAAGATTTTAACTACAAAGAGAACAGTGACACCAAAGCCTGCTGCTAGAGTTTAATAAGTATTACGTATTATTTCTTTGTCAGAGTCCTACCCAGACATTGAGGCAACACTGACAGAGATGGAAACCTGTATGAGGCTGCTTCTCCCCGAGTTTGACCTTACAGGCATCCACACAACCGATAGCAGCCCCCCTATCTCCCAAACAGCCAATGATTGTCCACCAGTCGACGAACAGCCCTGCTGCAGCAAAGACCTGAAAGATGACGGGAGTGAAGGAATGATAGAAAAGAAGGAGGAGAGCAGGGAAGAAAATAAAAACGACAGAGGGGAAGAAGAGGGGAAGGAGAGGTCTGATGTTGAGGAAAGGGGGGATAAAGCGTGGAGCGATGGGAATGAGCGGGAGGAGGTGAAGGGAAAGGAAGTAGAAGATGGAGAAGAAAATGAGGAAGATCAGGAAGCAAGTAGTGAAGAGGAGGAGGAGGAGGAGGAGGAGGAGGAGAAGAAGCATCTTGATGAAGACTTGTTTATTCGGAACTCTGGGCTCATCTCTCACTCCTACAGTCTGGACCTGAACCTCAGTCCTGGTGGGTACAGCTCTCATACATGCCAGTTTATCCAGTGCACCCACTGTAATGCTACTGTAATGCAACACATCCGACCTTTGTGAAGCTTATAGGGATCAGATTTGTTGATGGTGTCTTGGTGGGGTTGATTAAACTGGCAGATCAATGTATATGTAAATACTGTACTAAACCAGTCATACATAGCATGAGGTCATAATCTTTCCCTTCTCAATTAAGATTGCTGGTGTCTGACAACGTTATGGAAAGGTTCCTTATGGCCATAATAGTGCTATCACTTGCCACGACTCCATACCTTGCGTATCATTGTAACATCATAATTTCATTCAAAGTGAACACAAACAAAATAACACTCACCAGAACGGTCTGTGTTAGTCTTTCCACTGTTCCAGCAATAAAAAAAATACGATTTGAGAACTTGATAAAAACCCCTTTATTTTTTTCCATGTAAGGTATTGCAGGTTTTTTTCCCGCTTGGTTCATTGAAGCGTATTCGATTGAACCAGAAGTGTGATCAATATTTTTGAATAACACAAGTGTGCAAGCTTAGCTGATGAAGTGGCATCAGTGTAGAAATTCTATGTATTCTGGAATTATTTACTAGGAATAAAATACTTAATTGTTCTACCTTTTCTTTTCTTTTCCTTCTCTTTTCCTTCTTATTCTTACAGGTCTTCATGTTAAGGAGACTGAGGACAATGAGGCGGTGGTTTCCACGGTGATAGACCTCCACAAACTGATAAAAACCAAACACCTACCTGCTGTGCAGGGCTGGATTCAGGTTGGTACAAACACACGGTTCAGATATGCAGACATGTAATCAACTATCATATTAAAGCATGTGGGTAGAAATGAGAATACACAATGAGAGGACTACCTGCTAGGTGCTACTGCTAACTGCTACTACTACTGCTAGTACTATTGGTGCTACTACTGCTGTTCCAACTGTAGAACCATAATTCAGTTATATCAAGTCTGTCCAACCATCTCATTAACAGGTTTTCTTTTCTTCCCTGTCTGTCTGTCACACACCTTTGTGTGTGTGTGTGTGTGTGTGTGTGTGTGTGTGTGTGTGTGTGTGTGTGTGTGTGTGTGTGTGTGTGTGTAGGTCTTCACCAAGTCAGGTGCTGAGGAGCAGCTGTTGAGAAGAGCACTGGATCTGAAGAAGTCTTTAGAAGCTGCCCTGGAGAAACACAAAGAGCTTCACATTGATTACAAGACCAGGATCCGCAGAGTGGTGAGTTCCATACAGTATTACATTCTGACTGAGCTGATTCAAGCTACATCAAGTCACTAACACATGACAGATGGAGGACAATATTCGCACTCATGTTCTTTTACAAAGCAGAAAAATGTGTGAACATGTTATCTTTTGAACATCATGTCTACAGTAGCACCTCAGGAATTAAATATGTAGCACTCGATTTACTATTAGGTAAAAACAACAGATTTGGGGTTAGCTCAAAATCCTTGTAATAGATACATCCTGTAGTCAGTTATGGAGGGAAGTTACTCATGGTTGATGTTCTGGGAAGGTATATAGCTTTTCGAGAGTACATGCTAGTGTAGAGCATGGCCAGCAGATGGCAGCATCCCACTGCAAATCGACCAGGGCGACAACATCACTACACAACGTTGCAGATGTTCCATTTACTGAGGAGTGATTTTAGTTAGAAAGATCAGCTATAGAGGAGTGATGTGTTGATAACTAGGTCCCTCTCTATCAGATTCAGCCTGGATAAAAGTCTGAGCTAATTCCTATCTCTTTGGATCTTTTGCTTCCTGTTTAGAAAGAGAAAAAGTTAGTTTTTTAATTTTTTTAATTAAGTTCTATATAAGCAGAAATTTCTTCTTCTCCAGCATCTTGTGATTTCTGTGCCTCAAAAATCGTCTGTTGTACTATTGTCATCTGCTCCTTTTTAAAAATGATTATTTAAATGTATCTTTATACATTTTAAGTCCAAATTGGAACTTTGTCAGGTTCAGAGGAATCAAACAGACTTAGATGTGTGTCGCTGAAGAAATAGTCTGTGTCTGACCCATGGATGTGCCTAAAATATTACCCAGAATACATCACAAACCCACATTGCACAGGTTTGAAAATGTTCAAAGCAGGTCAAAAACAACGAACAGATATAAAATATCACTAAGAAGACAAGGGACAATCAATCAATCAATCAATCAATCAATCAATCAGGGTGTCTGTAAGGTCTTAAAAGGTCTACAATCCAATATTCTGAATTTTTAAGTGGTCTTTAAAATGTTACTGTATAAAGTAGAATTTTTCAGTCTCACTTTTAAATGTGTTTCTGGGAAAAAATTATATTGAATGAGAATTCTAGTTCCCAGTGTGACCCTAGTTACACCACCTAGTGGCCACAGAAAGAACTGCAGCTTCAGGTGTTTGTCACCACTCGGCCATGCTGCTCGCTGCTGGAGCGGAACCAGTCAGTCTCTAAATTGTGAAAACTGGAAGATGACAGTCCAGCTCCCTTTGAAGTCCACTTAAGACCAATTACTGAGCAGCAACATGTCATGTTACATAAAGCAATAATAAGTGTTCTGGCTGACATTGATTCAAAATAAATAATTCTTTGTTGTTTGCTTTCTACCTAAGTGAAAGCCACAGTGTTAGCAACTTTCGTTACCAAATCCCATTGCAAATTGACCTGACCCTTCTTATGACTCATCGAAACAGCCCATAATTGTATTGAGATGCAAGTGTGAAATGTCTCTGTCCGTCGCTGCGTTTCCGTGGGCTCCCAGAGGGAAATATCATAATAGAGACAGAGAGAGGAAGGATGGAAATATTAATAGTAAAGACATTTGGGAGAGGTGAGATAGGAAGGCACAGCCATAATGCATAATGCATCAGAGACAGAGAGAAGAAATTGGGGAGCAAGGGGGAGAATGTACCCATTCATTCACTTCACTACCACTAATGTGCCCCATGGCTTGACAGCTGATATGTCTATCTGGCTGCCTCTATATCTAGCTTAGCATCGTCATGCTGCTGTTGCTCGAACTGGCCCAAAATGGAGGCACAAACTAAGCAGACCAGTCTTGTCATAAAGCTGGAAAGCCTTTTACTCAAACTAATTGCTTATTTGAGGGGGTTTAATTGCAGCTGAGGTGTCTGTGTTTTAGAGACGGGCTACTTGCTGCATACTTGCAGTGCTGGGAGATAGAAAAGAAGAAGAAAAATCCAATGGGCAGCAGCCTGCAGTTTCAGGTTTCAAAGGACCAATGAATGCCAACTGCTGTATGTGTTTGAAAAAAAAAAAAAAAAAAAAAAGGCATAAAAGTTGTAGCATGTGAATCCATCTTTAGCTGAACAGAGCGGCAGAGTGACAGTGACAGAGCGCCGGGCGTCTCGCTCTGCCTGGTTATCACTGTCAGGGACCAGTCTGCTGCACCAGCAGGCCCAGCGCTGCGATAACCACACAACTTACAGCCCCTTTATCATAATTAGCTTTTCCTTTTTAGCCTTAAAAGGCCTTCCATTACTGGGTCCTTCTCTATCGGGCCGCTGACACACCACACGATTGGTTTCTCTCTCAACGGGCCTCTCAATATAGTCTCCCATAACGGGGGGAGCCGGAGAGAGAGAAGAGGATTGCTATAGAGACAGATAGAGAGGCGTGTTTATTGAATGAGAGAATAAGTCAGAGGGAGGGTTGAGTGAAGAAGCATCTACATGAAGCTGGAAGAGTATTGAAAATAGAAATGCACAAGGCCATTTTTTTCTATGGCTGACAGAATGTTTGGTGCTAGCTCTATTTCACAAAGCCAAAATATAGCATGTGAATAAAACTGTTAATATTTGGCAAGCTAATTTGGCAAGCACCAGGCTTGTAGTCTGTAGAAATAGAGAGATAGAGCAATGGTTCTTTACCTTTCAATATGATGACCAGAGATTTCCTTAAATGACACCATCTAGTGGCTGATCTGAGATATAGCTCTAAGTGATGGCTGGGCCTAAAGGAGAACACACTGATCCATGCTTCTGGCATGTTGCTGACATCCTAGGGGAAATGAGATGATGATGGTGATTCTGGTTTCCCCGCACCAAACATTAGCTGTGTGATACAGGGAACCAGCAGAGGATGGTGCCGCTCTGTCTAACCCCTCACAAGTCTGTGCGAGGGGTAGCTGTTCAACATCCGCCAGCCCCTGATGTTCTGGAGTCTGAATGGTTTAGGGCTGCAACTAACAATTATTTTTGTTGTTTAATTAATTTGTCAATCATTTTCTCTATCAATTGATTAGTTTTTTGGTCCATAAAATGTTGATCACAGTTTCCCAAAGCCCAAGATGACATCCTCAAATATCTTGTTTTGTCCACAAACCAAAGAGATTCAGTTTACTGTCATAGGGGACTGAAGAATCCACAAAATATTCACATTTTTTCTTAAAAATGACTCAAAATAAAATGATTGATTATCAAAATAGTTTCCAATTACTTTAATAGTTGACAACTCATTGATTAATTGACTAATTGTTGCAGCTCTGGCATGGCTCAGATCATTCCATCCATTGTCTCTGCTCAGGTCGGGTTGTAGATAACACGAGACCGGGGACTGGCCCGCCTGTAGACTTGTCGGTGCTGCTGAGCTGTGGTGCACGGCAGCTTTCTGGACACAAACCCCCCTCATCTGCCTCCGTTGGGTGATGCATTGATGCCATGTCTGTCGGTAGTCCTTCTTTTCTAACCCTATGACAATGCTCTGTCAGTTCAAATGTGAAGACCAGCAGATTTAATGAGCTTGCCCGGCCATTTCCCATGCTGTAGAGTAGCGTGGTGAAGGGCACCATTCTCCCAATATGTTTGACTCATCTTGTCTTGGGTGTTCACGACAGCCATAGATACTTTTGTCTTCATATGTGGTCTGACAACCCGTTGTATGACCTAATTTGTTTGAAGCATACTTTCAGCTGCCTGTTTCCTCCAGTTGTTGTGAATATGTTTGAAGGCAGTTTTCAGGGAGAGCTATGACCACGAGAATCCTATATGCATCTGTTGAGTGCTGCTAACTGAAAACATGGGCTTGTGTTTAGGAAAGGATAAGACATGCAGACTTATTTGAACATATCTGTTTTTAAGAGTGTATTCAGTCACTCTGGGCTCCATTCATACAGGCCCAGGCCTTGTTTACTGCTGATAACCCATCTTATCACAGCACAATGGATGTGGCCGCCTGTTTCTCACTGGAGATAAACAAAGAAAGACTATCCCTCTATTTCTCTCCTCCAACGCTCCTTCCTTTTCATTTGTACATTCATTCTCCAGATGTGTCTCCTTCTCTCAGTTGTACACCAGTAATATGTTTTTCTCTTGCTCTCCTTGCCTCTGTTTCTCTCTCATTATGTTCATAGGGAGTCTTGGGGTGTTTATTGCACAACTAAAATTTGGTTGATCAGTCATTCTCCATGTAGTGAATAAAAAGTAATTGCAAGGAGTGAAGAAGACAATAAGGTTGGAAAAAAGTTCTAATTAAAGTTTTCTGGCACAGCCTAAAGGAATGTCTACCTATTGTACCTAAAATGCACACCAAAATGTGCTTGGCTTGACACCTTTGATTAGTTGCTTGCATCCAATATGAATTATGACTAACCTTGCCTGAGAAACAAGTCAAAAAACAAATTAATGGATGAATATAGGGATGCACCATCTGATCCTGTAGATCAGGAGTGCTGAGTGCCGATACTGACCTTATTGAGCAGTTCAGAAATCTGGTTTATGTGACCCGTCCACATTCAATACAGTTTCTTTGTCAGTATTGTTACATTACATTATATACAGATTAAATGTGGAACAAGAAAGCACTGGTGTCAGATCAGTATTTGTAGATGTATCAGAAGGAGGGAAAGGAGGGAAAAAGTGATTGCTGCATCCCGAGATGAATAACATGAATTATGCTCAGACATGCTACGAATAGTGCTAGCATGTCTTTATTGTTAAACTGATTGCTTTACAGCTATAATCACACATTCGTGTGTTAAAATTGTGAAAGCTTAAAGGTCCAGTGTGTAGGATTTAGTGGCATCTAGCTCCCTTGCTCCCGTCCAAGCATGAAGGAGAAACTACAGTGTCCATGGAATGCACAAAAAATGCTAATGCCCCTTTCTAGAGCCAGTGTTTGTTTGTTCTGAGCTACTGTAGAAATATGGCGGTTCAACATGGAAGACTCCATGGAGGGCAACCTGCGCTGTCTGTAGAGGTAAAGGGTTATTTTC